AGCGGATTTAAATCAAAGTTCTGATATTTAGAGACATTCTCGTATTATACTGACGACGTTCATATACCTGTATAGCACACAACACCAACATCCTCACTGTGGTCGCATTTATGTTTACCCCAGCCCAGGTGATGGCACTGATCCAGGGACGATTCATCGCCTTTACATTGTACTTCATCAAGCCAAATTGGACCAGATCCTCGTCCTAAGTGCTTGGACGTCGCTGCAATCACGTAGCCAAGCTGTTTACATGCGATGTTTGTGTCAGTCATGTCCCATCTGTCATCACATATTGTTCCCCATTGACCATTGTGATAAATCTGTAAAATACCTTGMACTGATTGCGGAGAATAAGATTTGTTTTGGAACAACCTCAATGGCGGTGGTATTCCTAATAAAGAAAGATTACAATAATGCATAAAGATATACTAGGAAAGAAAAGACTATTCTCATTCCCTCACTCTCTCGTAATTAGCTGTTCATACCCAGTATCCTGCATGCGTGCAGCCGAACCAAAATTGTTATGATGATTTGAGAGATTTTTTCTTCTTTTCTAGACGTTTTTCGTTTACAGTCTTCGTAATTTTGATTTTWCTTTTACATTTTAATTAAAACCTCTGATATTATGGTACTGTTCATAGAAACTGTGGTTATCTTTGTACAATAATTTGAACGAAGTTGAACTTAAACTTATGGTTATTCTATCAATTTTTCTAAACAGGCAATCTTGTTCCATAACTTGAAATAATTATTGTTYTATCGCCTTTTTAATAAGACGATTGCCTGAGTTTTAGTTTTTTAGATCACTCCGTCAGGCTGCCTGACATTTAGACACTATAGCGCCTTGATATAAAGTCAAGATCGCATGTATATATTTTGAACTCTTTTAGGCTGTTGTTAAATCAATACAACCTTATTATATTGTAGTAAATGTTTAAAAATGTTAAAATGTTGTAGTAAATGTTTAAAAATGTTAAAAAAAAACATTAAGCAAAACAGACTGAAATGTTTGGTGTCGCGATATCATGTCACTAGTCACCATTGAATCATCGCGTCACTAAGTGTCCAAATTTGATCCAAATGTGATCCCAACAAAATGGTTGTAAACTACTGTGTTGGATTCCAGATCTCTATAATCAAATACTTGACGTCACTACAGCAAAAAGATTMTAATTATTGCAATCAAGRCGTGCGCGCTTACCGGAATYACACACGATRCCAACATCCTGGCTGTGACTGCAGTTATGAACACCCCATCCTCGGTGTTTGCACTGATCTAGAGATGATTCACCACCATTACAATTTACATTATCAAGCCAAATTSGACCAGAGACTTGTCCTAAGCTCTTGAAGCTATGTGCACCTTTAAATCCAAGTTGTTTACATGCGATGTTTGTTTCATTCATGCCCCAGGAGTTATCACATATTGTTCCCCATTGATGTTCGTGATAAATCTGTAAAATCCCTTGAACTGTTGACGGAGTTGATTTTTTTTTAAACAACCTCAATGGCGCTGCTCCTGCAAAGAGAGATTACCATAATGCATTAAAATATAGAAATGACTATTCTCGTTAAACCTCTTTCTCTCTATTTCTCACAATCAGACGACTAGAAAGGGTGATTGTGACTGCGATTGCAACTACAGTTATATATGATGCATGGAGTAAAAATAATGTCAAAACAGTGATGACTATTATGGTATCAACTGATGCTTATCATTATGCGCTGTTGGAAGCTGTAAAGAAACTTTCTTCCCATTTGTAGACTCAGTTTGTTTGGGCTATTTGTGAATCCGGAAAAGTCGAAAACTAAGTTGGATCTAAAATGTGTTGAAATACCGTTGACGTCTTGATAAAAAGTCAATGACATGTACATACTTTAAAATCTTTCTAGCCTGTTGCTGAATAGGTGTGCTACGTCAACTAAATTTTCAAGGCATCGAGAACAAGAGTTTGTGCAAGAAACCTTTAAATGACAGCCGAAAAATTGAATTCATCAACAAATCGGCTGTTGTGAAAAATGTGAGACGCATCAATAATACCGCCAGTTTGAAATAAACTGGAAAGTTAAACGAGAACGGTTTCTTTAAGAAGATATATGGGGAAATTGTCTTCCTTATGGCGTTATGTCTTCGATGTATGTTCATCGTGGTGCACTTTGGCATCGACAAAAACGCAAAATAAAACCAGACTGATTCGCCAAAAAAACATTTTCTAGTTCACAGCCATCTGTTGTAGACACAAAGTGTATTCATTGTCCGCCTTTGATGTATGATCAGTGTCATCATTCACAGTGACTTTGGTTCGGGAATTTGTTCAACAACGTTTTGAAATATCTAGATGAGATCTAGTGACTAATTGACAGACCTAATAACCTCAATGGTGACGCTGTTATATGATGACGAAGAAATAACTCAATGTGGGTACTAGGGGGGCATGGATCTTGCTAAAACAAAGGGGGTCACAAAAGATTACTTCTGCGCATGTTTAAAAGACGCCAAGCTTCCATTGATTTGTGGGATTTTATGCTTAATACGTATATTTCATAAATTGTATAAAAAATACGATACAAATAAAACATGTTCGAATAATTTTATCATGATAGAGATTATGATACAAAATTTAATTTAAAACATACAAATAAATCAGGAATTTTCAAACGGGGCAACTGACATACCCCACCCCGACCTCCTTGTTTTCACCACTGAATTTATTATAGTAAATATTAAAAGAAAAAAGATTAGATACCCCCATCACAATAAAGGCGTGTGCGCTTACCTGTATTACACACGATACCAACATCCTCACTGTGTCCGCAGTTATGAACACCCCATCCTAGGTGTAGGCACTGATCTAGTGAAGATTCATCACCATTACAATTTACATTATCAAGCCAAATTCGACCAGATCCTCGTCCTAAGTACTTGTAGCTCACTGAACTCTTGTAGCCAAGTTGTTTACAGGCGATGTATGTKTCAGTCATGTCCCAGTAGTCATCACATATTGTTCCCCATKTACCATTGTGATAAATCTGTAAAATCCCTTGAACTGATGACGGAGTTGATTTTTTTTCAAACAACCTCAATGGCGCTGCTGTAAAGGGAGATTACCATAAGGTATTGAAATATAGAAATGACCATTTGTGAATCAAAGTCGAAAACTGAAAGAGATCTAAAATGTGCTGAAATAGCGATAGCGCCTTGTACACTATTGATAAATCGCATCTATATACTACAAATCTTTTATCCTGTTGTCAAATTGTTTAATAGGTACAATAGCCTTATTTGGTGTGTAAATTTTAAGTATCGAGAACAAGAGTTTGTGCTAGAAAACTGGAAATGAAAGAACATTGAATCACAGAAAATGTGCAATACTTCCAGGTTGAAAAAACCTTGAAAGTCAAACGAGAACGGTTTCTTTGAAAGTATATGACGTTATGCCGACGATACACGTTCACCGTGGTGCATTATGGGATAGACGAAGCACGAAATGAAACCAGGCTGCTTTGCTAACAGTAAAATTAATTATTTTTAGTTAATCCGTGACGGAGAAATCCACTATGTCGTCGCGATGTAAGCAAGCAAATCTGTAAAACCCGACTGATACGCGACTCTTTTTTGAAATCGGCTCGATCATTTTTACGATCGATATCGCAGCGGAAAGGCCAAATGCCTCATGGGATAAGTCTCGTCGAGAAATAAAGGCGTGTGCGCTTACCTGTATTACACACGATACCAACATCCTCATTGTGCCCGCAGTTATGAAGACCCCATCCTCGGTGTTGGCACTGATTTAAAGATGATTCATCACCGTTACAATCTACATCAGAAAGCCAAATTGGACCAGATCCTCGTCCTAAGTACAAGGATCCCCTTGTTGTATAATTGTAACCAAGCTGTTTACAGGCGATTTTTGCGTCATTGATATCCCAGTTGTCATTACATATTGTTCCCCATGTACCATTGTGATAAATCTGTAAAATACCTTGAACTGATTGCGGAGAATAAGATTT